ATGATTTTGAATTTCAATTTTTAAATTTCTGGTCACTTACTACAAATTTTGGTAAATTATAGTTTGGTACCCAAATTTTTTTTTTTACAATTTAGTACCTAAAATTTTAAAATTTTACAAAAAGGTCCTGAAATTTTGATGGTAAAATTACATTTTGGTACCTTTATATATTTTTCCTCGCACTATAGTACCTAAACTTTTCATATTTTACAAATAGGTCCATTCTTTTGTTAGGAGGTATTTCAAATCACTAGTTGTTGAAATGTATTTGAAGTTGACAAAAAATACACTAGACATGTATTTGGAAATCACCCCATGAATTTGACACAAATCCAAATACCAAATGTAATTAATATCCAAACACATGATTTAGTATTTGGAAATCCAAATCACAAATACCAAATCCAAATCATTGTATCCAAACGCACCCTAAGCAAGTTCTATTTTTACTAAGGGTAAGTAAGATAATCTCAAATAATTTTTGACTTTTTCCCTAAGGGTGCGTTTGGATACAATGATTTGGATTTGGTATTTGTGATTTGGATTTTCAAATACCAAATCATGTGTTTGGATATTAATTACATTTGGTATTTGGATTTGTGTCAAATTCATGGGGAGATTTCCAAATACATGTCTAGTGTATTTTTTGTCAACTTCAAATACATTTCAACAACTAGTGATTTGAAATACCTCCTAACAAAAGAATGGACCTATTTGTAAAATATGAAAAGTTTAGGTACTATAGTGTGAGGCAAAACATATAAAGGTACCAAAATGTAATTTTACCATCGAAATTTTAGGACCTTTTTGTAAATATTTAAAAGTTTAGGTACTAAATTGTAAGAAAAAATAATTTTGGGTACCAAACTGTAATTTACCAAAATTTGTAGTAAGTGACCAGAAAATTAAAAATTGAAATTGAAAATCATAAAATACAAAATACAAACAAATTAAAAATGAGTATCCAAACAATGAATTTGAATTACATGTATTTCAAATGCTAATATTTCGAATACATCCATTTCAAATGCTAATATTTCAAATACCTTACATTTAAAATCCACTTATCCAAACGCATTCTAAGAGAATAGAGTTGGTGATGAAAACTATTCTCTTTATCCACGTAGTATTTATTAGGTCACAAATATACAGCTATTTGATGAATAATAGTGACAAAAATATTTTATTCGCTGGAAAGAATGATGGTGCCAAAATTTTCCTCTAAATAATGAGATTAGTGACAAGGATTTCCGTCTTTACCGACGAGTTTAGCCTATGTCACAAATACACAACTAGTTGACGAAATAAAACTGACGACAATAAAATTTTGACGATAAAAGTCATAGTTAGCGACGAAATTTATGGTCTTTTTTGTAGTGTAACTTTTAATGACTACAACTTTTACTAGGAATAAATTTTTAAAATAGGATGTATTTTTGGATATATGGGGGTATGGAAATAACTTTGCCTTTACTTTTCACAAATCCACATACATTTCGAAATTATGGCTATGATAAAAGTTGTAGTAATTGAAAATTTATGTGAAATCAAACAAATTTCATGACGTTCGGATTGCAGAGCACAAAGTTATCACCATCCAAAGTTTGACGAAATCAAAAAAATCCTTGTTCGGGGTAGCAAACGAGGTTTTTCGAGACGAAAGCGGGACCAAACGGCCTACAGCCCTCCACAGCTTGCAAGATCTCAAAAAGTTATGTGGATTAAAAAAAATCTCTACGATCAGATACCCGAGCACAAAATTACGTTCGTTTGAAGTTTCGGCCTAAGTTAGGCATTGTTCATATTTTTTTTTTTTTTTGTGCAAACCGCTAGGGTGTAGGTGGTCTGCAAGTTAACCGCAGCCCCACCCAATGCGGTCAATCATACCGCCCCAACCCAATGCGGTCTTTGGGCGAGAGGTTCAAAAATCGTGGCCTCACCTTGCGGTTTGTGTATAACCGCCATAGGGGGCGGCGATTTATGGTAAATGATGGTATTTTTCGATATTTCGGAAATGGGTGATATTTTTGTAATTATTTTGTGGTATTTCTGAAAAAATTTCGGAATTGGATAGATAAAAAGAAAAGTTTGTTCTTTCATCTTCTCTTGTATCTCTCTCTTTCGGCTTAGGATAGGGTCAGTAACCTATGAGTAACTAAATCTAGACCTTTAGATCTAAGTGGGTCCAGAAAATTCATATCTAAGGGTTGTCAATTAAAGGCGTTTTATTTTCCCTAGTTTTCTTAGGGGTCGTTTGGAAGTTGTGATTGTTAGAGTTGTATTTGTTGAATACATGTATTGTGCACAATACAATGTTTGGAAGTGTCAAAGTGTTAAACAATACATGCATTGTTTTAGGTAGGTCCCACCAACAATCACAAAAAAATGATGCATTATACAATCTCAACTAAAAGTTGAGATTGTTGTGATTGTTGGTTTTAGATTTGTGTCAACTTTTTCTTTTCATTTATATCCCCAATAGTTTTGTCTTATTCTAAAAGTTGAGAGTAAATGTGACATTTCATCATAAAAGTAACTTTATGTAAATCAATGCATAAAGTAAAATCTCAACAACCAAACAATGTATTGTTAAAATACATCAATTGTATCAATACATGCATTTATATTATGGTGATTCATTACAATGCAACGATTTAACATTCGCAACTTCCAAATGAACCCTTAATCGGCTCTTATCTTCTTCGTCCTAACTCTGATTTCAATTTTTTTATTGCATAGATGGAACGAGTTCGTTGTGCTCTACAAAATGAGATCAATTTTCAATATATTTCGAGAAACTTTTTTTACCAACTACATACCATATGGTAACTTCTTCGTTTTTAAGTCGTTTTTTAAAACATTTGCTCAAAAGGAACGAGTTCATCATGATCTATTGGATCTATAAATTTCTGGGTGAAAAAAATACTAGATAAAAAATTACCATACTTTACCAATATGGTATGTGGGTGGTAACTTGTAGTAAACAATGAGGAAAGTCGTAAATGACGGTTAGTATACTCCTATTATCATGTATTCAACCTTCTTACCATATTGGTATGTTCATACCATCATGGTACGCTTTCTTACCATATGGTATTAAATAGGAGCATACCATATGGTAATGACTGGTAAAAAATTATTCAATATTTTTGTACTAAAAATATATCAAAGTGGATATCATTTTAAAGAGCACATTTAATTTGATTTATCTGTGCAAAAAAAAAATTAAATTTCGACTTAAAACGAGAGAGAAATCGTCCGTTAAAGATTAAAGGGGAATAGATAAAAGATTTTTCAGGAAAGAGAAGATATTAATGTCATTCTGATGTGGACAGGTTACTCATGATTACTGATCATAGAGTTACTCACATGATCCGTTCCTCTCTCTTTCGAACCTTACGGTTGTACTTGTTCCTCTTTTCTATCATTTTCATAACAAATCGTATAACATTTTTCTCGGCACAACACTATAAAACATCAAAACGTTAATGTTTGCATTGCTTAAAACTCCTTTCCTCCAAATGATCATTTACATTGCTCAAAACTCCTTGTATTTATGATCCATCGGTTTGTACATATATATATAGTTTATGGATTCTCTTCCCTTGTTTGATCAATCTGTTGAATTAAGCAGCGCCAAGCGGAAAGAGGAGACGCATGCATTTGTTGTCTTATAGCTAGCTAGCTAGAGTATTCTGCTGTAAACTCATCTTCCACGACATTCCCGTCCATTCTTGCCGGCCATAGATTACAACGTACACGCACCCTCTCATTTATGATTTAACAGACACAAACAACAAAAACGGAATAATTCGAGGACTAATAAACATCCATATATATATATATATATATATATATATATATACACGGCATCATTCAAGCTGTAGTATCTGGGATGATAACCACACTAACAAAAAGAAACGACAAAGCCAAAAAGCAAGCTAATAACCAAAAATTAATTAACAGTTGGATTCCAAATAGATAGTATCTTTCACCGGACATCTAGTTGTAGTTAATCAGCTGCAGCATCAGACAAGAACCCTCCCGTACTTTTGCACCCTATAAATTAAATTAGAAGCAGTATGGTGTTCCATCATCTCATGATCATTAATGCCAAAACCCAGACATGTCTTTGAAAGTTGAGATTAGTCGCCGAGAAACAATCAGACCACTCTCTCCGACTCCTGCCAACCGGAGATTCCACAACCTCACCATTCTAGACCAAACGACGCCGCCTGCCTACGTCCCAGTCTGCCTCTTCTATTGCCCATCCGACGAGAATACAGTTATTGCCGACGCACTGAAGGCAGTGGCGGACCCAGGGCACATTGGGGGTGTCCCCGGACACCCTTAAATTTTGGGATAACGATTATTCAACCCCCGGTGATAATTTAAGTATGGACAAAAAAATTATAATTGATGGGAGACACCTCTGAAATTTGAAAAAATGATTATCCTACTCTCATTTCTTAGTTTGTACATGGGACTACAAGCGGTAGTTTGGATAATTCAAACCTAGGACACTATTATTATTATTAAACATAATTTTATTAGGCTACAACTCATTTGTTGTTCGATTTTAAACATGGTGTAATAGTAAAATGACATTCCCTAGCTATTTCTAATTATTTTCAAAACCTAACAATTAAACTAATTCCAAGCTACCCTTAATTTGTATTGATTTTATGGTTGTACGACAAGTGTTGAAAGAGTCTTTTTAGCTTTGGGTTACATCAAGAACAAGTTCAGAAATCGAATAAGTGATCAGTTCGTAAATGATTGTTTAGTTAGGTTATACAAAGACAATTATTTTGAGCAGTGTAGACATCAAGTGTATTCTACAATTATTTTCAAATATGAAAATACATTGTGTACCTTTTTAACTTGAACGTGTCAGGTATTTTCTTATTTAAGAATTAATTATTAATTAATTATTTTTTTATTTAATTTATTTTTTAAAAGAGGACACCCCTATATAAAATTTCTGGGTCCGCCACTGACTGAAGGCTTCCCTCTCCCAAACCCTAGACGCATACTACCCGCTCGCGGGACGTTACAAGGACGCCGCCCTCACCGTCGAGTGCAACGACGAGGGTGTCGACTTCGGCGTGGAAGCCTGCGTCGTCGGAGGAGGAGACATGTCGGACGCTCTTCGGGAGCCCGACGGGGACAGGCTGCTGGCCTTGCTCCCTTGTCGGCCTCGTGAGAGGCATGTTGACTCGGAGGGCAAGCTCGTCCTTTTAGCCGTCCAGCTCAATTTTTTCGGGTGCGGGGGTGTAGCCATCGGCATCTCCATGTGGCATGGCGTGGCGGATGCTTGCACCCTGGCTTGCTTCCTTCGAGCCTGGGCCACAATAAACCTCGGGTGCGGTAGTCTAGTGGACGCAACGGGATCAACGGCGCAACCAATCACTGCAGGTTAGTTGAAATACATATAAAATTCATGATAAGTTTGAACTACGGGTGGCTATACGATCCCGTCAAAATTGGCCCAAATTGATCTGGTTCAGTCCGGTCTTTTTGAAAATATAAGGATCAAAGATTGGATTGGATACAGTCCAGTCTTGATCCGGTCCGGTCCCAATTCGGTCTTGATTTTATATTGAGCTTTGTGGGGATTTGAGTGGCCTAAGGCCTGAAAGGGTGAGGAGTTGGTTAAGTTTCGTACTAACTGCAAATGTTTGTGACCGTTTATGCAAATTACTCTAAGTTTTGGGTGTTGAGCTCTCTTATCCGGTCTTTATCCAGTTTTCGATCCGGTCCCGAACGGTTTTTTACCTCAAATCTAAGCCCAAAAATTGGATTGGATTGGATTGTTTACTATCTAGTCCCGGTCCGGATTATACAGTCCGGTTTCGGGTAAAACCAAAGAACCCGAACCAAATAGACAGCCCTAGTTTGAACCATTGATAAAAATTTGGCATCGACGTATGAATGTAGACCGTTAAAATATATTTAAAATTCATTTAGAGTATTGATTACCAAAATAGTGGTAACCAACGATACCGATTGTCACTTAACTGTTACAACTGCTACGTACAATATACACATTCATTACGTAAAGTTATAAGCGCTACGTAACGCTTCCGAAATGGCTTAATTAACAGTTCGCATAATATAATGTTAATTTACGTTACGTAAAAGGATCGTGCATTGCATAAGCGTTTCTTAATGTCCATTTACAATTGTTACACATAAGATATAAGCATGCGCAACATAACCATTACGATACGTCAATTTTATTTAATGCAACCTATGAAACATGCTTTTAACCGTTACAAAAAAATTAAAGTTTCGTTCACTTCAAGGCATGGTAGAAAATTGGAATCCTCATTAACTTAATCAGATTTCTGGGTCTGTTGTTGTGCAGGATCAGTGGTCCTGGACTGCACTTCTATTTTCCCGCCCACCAGGATTGATGATGCAACCCCGGCAATCGAAAGCCCTAGCAATAGTACACCACACACGAAAATCAAGAGGTTTGTGTTTCAAAGCTTTCAGATTGCGGCTCTGAGAAGTGGGATTCAGAGCTACTGGCAGCAGCAACAACGGCCGACTAGGGTACAAGCGGTATCTGCACTCATTTGGTCGGCAGTGATAAAGATCGCCATGGACAAGAAGAAATTACCGCCGACAACTATTAGCCATGGAGATGAAGAAGAACTAATTCACCGCTATCATGTAGGAATGATGGTAGTAAATTTACGGCCGAGGATGGACCCGCCTTTGCCAGAGCAAGTGATGGGGAATCTGGTCCACGTGCCAGTTTTCGCCAAGTGGCCGATGAGTTATCATCACGAAGAGGTTGAAGAAACAACGGAAGCAGCGAACGAGCTGCGGGCTCAGCTGGCTGAGAAGCTGAGGGAGTCGGTTGGGATGGTGAGGGACGAGGAGGTGAGGAAGATATTCGAAAGCAGCGACAACAACGATGACGACTGTGACAAGGGCTCTACTGGAGGGTATTCGGATCTGTTCAAACTTTTTGTGGAGGAGCATGGGAAGGGGAATCTGGTGGCATTCAGCAGCTGGTGCAGGTTCCCGTTCTACGAGACGGATTTCGGGTGGGGGAGGCCGACATGGGTGGGTTATTTCAACATGATGGATAACCTTGTGCTGCTCATTGATGGTAAGGATGGGGAAGGTATTGAAGCATGGGTGAGTTTGAGTGATGAAGACATGTACAAATTTCAGGACAATCATGGGATTCTCCAATACGCTGATTTCAAATCTTGATGTTTTGGAATGGATATTGGGAAGTGCAATGGCGAGGGACAGATGTGCATGTTGAATTTCAGAGGCTGTAGTCTCATCGACTTTTTAATAATGTAGATAAAATTGCATGTAATAAATTTGGAAGATATACTAGTTGAGAGATTTTACACTGCTATATAACATTGGTGCTATAGGTTTTCGTTTTTATGATACAACTTGAAATTGTGCTTTTAACGTTATGGTATAACTTCATATTGTACCTATACTTTTTTGTACAAATTCTTTTATGGTACAACTTGAACTTGTACCTATGTGATGGTACAACTTCAAGTTGTAAAGTTGTTCCATAACATAATGGTACAACCTAAACTTATACATTTAATGTTAAGATAGAACTTCAAATTGTACATTAAAACACTAATGCTATATAGTATGGTAGAAGTGCTCATACTAGTTTGCCGCTAAGCGTCTACCTCCTCCTTTTGAACGATCATGGTTCAACTTCTTGAAGTTTAGCCTTTTTAGACCCTTCGTCCAGATTTATGACCCAGCCACTGCATATATATAAGGAAAAGATGTATAGTCAGCTCCAAACTTTTCTTCATTGTCAATACAGCTACAGAAGCAAAGTGCAGAGTCTACAACAATACAATTGGTGAACGCACATGGTGATTAGCTAACATTATCCTCTTGACTATTTAAACAATAAGGCACTTGATGCTCATTGTTATTATGAAGTCCATACTAGCTAGGTTGTTTACACGTCATATTGTATGTTCGTCTATGTTTGATTTGTAAGAACTTGAATGATGGTTGAGAAGGTTTAGCTGAAGTCGACGTTCGGGGGAAGTTCCATTGAAAGGATTTGGTGAGGCACAATACAATACGGGGATTATGAGGTGATGGGGTCACTCGCGTGAGAAGAGGACATGTGGTGTTTCGGTGACCATATTTTCCACAATTATTAGCAAATTTCAGTAATTCGAGTGACTAAAATTGATATTAAATTTTTCTAGTGATTAAACATGACACGATTTGGTAATCTCACTCACCAAATGTAACATTTACCCTATAGTTTTTGAATTCTCTTCTCTGGTTTGATCGATCTGATGAACAAGCTAGCGGCAAGCCAAGAGCGGAGACGCATTTGTTGCCCTATATAGCTAGCTAGGTAGCGTATTCTGCTGTAAACTCATATCCCACGCCTTTCACGTTCATTCTTGCCGGCCATAGATTACAACGTACTCACGCTCTTATTAAACTGACAGAAACAACAAAACAGAGTAATTTGACCAATATATACGGCATCAAGCTGTAGTATTTGGGATGATAATCACAGCAACAAAAAGAAACGAAAAAGCCGAAAGCAAGCTGACCAAAAATAATGGCAGGCTACCCTTTGGAGGGTAGTAATATAGTATCTTTACCGGACATGTAGTTGTGGTTAATCAGCTGCAGCATCATTATCAACAGAAAAGAAAAACCCTGCTGCTTTCATCTGTATATTGGAGAAAAGACCGGTTATATACCGCCAAGACTCCTTCGTACGTACCTGCGAGTTGATCCGGATCTGGTTGAGCTAGTAGGTAAGGATTAACGGGTCACCTGTTTTAGCCCGTTTTAGCCTGGAAATATGAAAAGAGTCATTATATTATACTTATCTTGATAAATTATATCAAATCTCATCTAACATATGAGTAAACATATAATATTACACCAAAGTAACATGTCGTACTTAAATCCAACATATAGTGAAAATTAACACATTTATATCAAATCTCAACTAACGTACTACGTACTTTTGCATAGGGATGGCAATGGGTCGGGTTTTGCCAAACCCAAATCCAAACTCATGGGTTTATCCGTGAAAAAAACTCGGGGTAAAACTCAATGGGTTTGAAAAACTCAAACCCAACACAACCCGCGGGTTCATGGGTACCCACGGGTTTTTGTCGTACAAAATTTACAATAACAAGTTCCTATCAAAATTAAAGTCAAATATCAATCTCTTAATACAAATTATCCATATATAAAACACCAGTCTAGAAAATTCAAGGAAATCACAATTAACTATACAAATTGTTCAACACCAATATAGAAAACTCAAGAAAATTGAAGCAAATCACAAATTATTTATAAATAACATGATTAATTGAAAACTTCTTCCTTTCAATTAAGTTTCTTCACTCTCCATTCTATAACATCAACTTCATTCTACACAATTAGAATAAAAAAATTAGACATATCTCCACAAACATAAATAAGATTACTTATTTAGAATTTTAAATATATCGAGAAAATTAATTATATGAGTGTGAGCGGGTACCCATGGGGCGGGACTACCTAAACCCAAACTCAACCCAACCCGGTGAATAGTGAACAGGTTTAAACCCAAACCCGGCCCAAAATCCGTCAACACAGATTTTACCCGCGTTGACCAGATTGGGTCGGGTGGGTACCCGTGGATTCGGATTTTGTTGTCATCCCTGCTTTTGCACCCTATACACTACAAGCAGTATGGTGTTCATTTAATGCCAAAACTAGACATGGCTTTTGAAGCAGGGACATACTTCTAAATTTTGAGATAAAAAAATATACCAACATAATATTTAAATTAAATCTTTATTATAATAATCATACAATTCAAACATTGTATGAATTTTAAACAAAAAGAAACATTGGAAAAATTAAAATGTTTGGTACTTACTTCTAAATTTTGAGATAAAATATACCAACATAATACTTAAATTAAACCCTTATTATAATAATTATATAATTCAAACATTGTATGAATTCTAAACAAAAAGACACATTGAAAAAATTGAGGTATGAAAGTGTAAGATTGGTCATTTTTGGGTAAAATATGCTTAAATTGTAAAATGAGAATAAGTAGAAAACATGTTGATTCTTGTCATCAAACCTTTAACCACTCAGTTAGGAGACAATTATCCGACCACTAGGCTATAGCTACTTATGTGGTCTGGTGTTAAATACTTAAATTTTGAAATTTTAGGGGGACCATGGCCCCCTACCACAACGCTAGCTCCGTCCCTGTTTGGAAGTTGAGATCAGTCGCCGAGAAACAATCAAACCACTTTCCCTCACACCTGCCAACCGGAGATGTTGCAATTCATCATCTAGTGGCTCCCTGTTAACCTATCTATGTCTTGGAGCACAAGAAATGAAGAGTATTGATGAAGAAACAGAGGAAGCTTGCTGGAAAGAGATGAAGATGGAACCAGTCGGAAGACGTTTTGGACTATCTCCAACTCTCGATTGAAGCTAAGGATATTGAGGGACCACCGTGAAGGGCATGTTTGCCAATGCCTCTTCTTGTTTTGTCTTGGGGAACACTGAAAGCGACCCTTGTACTAGCTTCAGCTTTTATGTTTTTGTCTTCTTGTTTTTGGAGGTAGCAGATCAACCTAGGGTTTGCGTTTGAGCCTTTAAAAGGTTGATGTCTCTTCATTTTGATGTAATGTGAAAGAACTACTTTGGTTGGAAATGAGAAAGTGGATCTGAAGCACAAAAGCCTAGCCATTATTTGGGTTCCAAATTATGTTCTTCCTTCATTCAGTTTTCCCGTTTTTGCACTGTTACATTGCATTTGCAGGTTTCTTGTGCTGCTGGGATTCAAATATTCTGTTTATAACACGTGCTATCAGAGCCCTCTTGATCTTTGAGAGGGATCGTGAGGCTTTTCTTTGGAGTGAATCAGTGAGCCTTTTGTGTGAGTTGAGTGTTCTTCTTCTTTTTCTTGACCTCTACCAGTTGCAAGTTGCACAGAAATGACTTCAACTAGCCTCTCTCAGACCTCACCCCCAGTTTTCAATGGCAAGAACTACCATATCTGGGTTGTTAAGATGAATTCATTTGACTCACTCCTACTGTCACCCTAGAAAATGGCCAAGTATAACCACTTCCTAAAGCGTAGTATAGCGGGTCGGGTTTTAATGTCAACCCGGGTCCTAGATGTGATGACTACTCGGTGAATTCTTGTTATTTAGCAGTGAACTTTTAGTGAAACTCAAGCAAACAAAACACAAAGCAAGTAAACGGTTTGTTGTCAAGTCAAGAGAGGTCACCCGGATATGGTTTCCCCCTAGACTGCAGTTAAGTCGGATTGCAATTTGCCAAGTTCAGTTTTCATGAAAGTTATACTGCGGAAGGTTCTCAATTAGCCTGAAGTCTCGACTAAAGGTCTCCAGACCCTCTCAATCTGAGTCTCTAGCGGGCGACTAACCTCCACCGGAGTAAACAGATTGAGGCCCTATGAACAAAACCTCCACTACCGAATGGAATTCGGTACAGAATAGTGAACTGGCTCCTCGACTAAAGTCACCAATTCACTACCTTCGATTAAGGATACTCTATCAACCTAGGCAGATATTATCATTCCAGGTCAAAGCAGAAACAACAGGAATTTGATCAGGATTCAAGTCATTCAATCATTCAAACCTCAATCGAATATAATCAATTCACAAACACTGTACTTGGGTTCATACAATCAGACCTAGCATACAAATCTAGGGTTCTCCATACCCAGATGAATGGGGAAACTACTCCATAGAGAAAGAAGCAAAAGCAGATTCAGACACGGAAATCATACTGTGAAGTTGGATTCCTGCTCCTGGTCGTTTAATCGCACTTCTCCAAGCTCAAGACGGGCTCCAATGGTGTTGAAGATCGATCTATGGCGCTTGAGAACTCTGGTTCGTCGCTTTCTCTCTCTAGGTATCGGTTTCTCTCTCAAAAACTCGGAACCCTTCAATGTTGACCTTCTTCTTCCTTAAATCAGCTGCCTGGTCGCGATACCCGGTCAAAATACCCGGTCGGGTATTTTGGGTTTCGACCGGGTATCTCTGCAGCGCACCGTTTCACTAAAGGGGGAAATCCCCGGTCCAACACCAAAATCCCCGACCGGGGATTTAACTGTTGTGCCCGGGCCCCTCTCTGCTTCTCGGGCGCCCAAAAGTGGTTAATACCCGGTCGGGTATTTGGCCAACCGACCGGGTATTTTC